TTCTTGCCCAGAGATTGTGTGTAATAGTGAGGCTATCTCAGTCCAAGGAGACCAGAGTTTGACTGGGCCAAGGAAGAAGAGAGGAAATGGGAAACACCGGGCACAATTAAACCGGGAGCGCTTGGAGCAATCTGGGTCATGTTGAAAAGGCTGTTATTGTTGGTACAATCTATTTTATATAGCACTTCAGCAAAGCCTCCGTTAACACAAGAGAGATTTCATCTGTGAGAAGAATCTGGATGGCACTTCAGATTGCTCCATCGTCTCCCCCTTTCGATTATTTATGCCCCTTCTCCATCCCTTTCTCTGCCTTTTGTCGCAGTTGTCATACCAGGGGCTATGGTGACTTCCCTTTTGTGGTTGCTTAATTTAGCAAATGGCATAGCGCTACAGCAATACACCAACCCAAGTATTCCCTTATATCCGAAATAGCACTACATCACTTAGGAGTATGTTTTTTAAAATTATGAGATGAGGAAAAGATAAGAGAGGGTATCTCTGCAGCTGTCACCACCCACTGCATGTGTCATACGCTTGTCACCGAAGAGAACACTGCCCACAGCTCTATTTGAGAGTGAATTATGTAGCCATACAAGCTGTAGAACAGGATAATCATGGTCCAAAATATGGCTTGAAATGAACAGCCTTTCATTTTTTGCTTCAGAATATTAAATACAAACAGTAACAAAAGGCTGGGGTGATGTAGCAGTTACAGTGCTCCACTGCAACTTGGGAGATCAAGATTCAATTCCTTTCTGAGCCATTAAACTGCACCAGGGATGGCCTTAGCCATCTTGACCTGCCTCAGGGGTGTATGAGGGGGGTGTTACAAAGTTAAACTGGGAAGAAGATGTGTCCTGCCTCTAGCATATACACGTACTGTAATTAGAAACTACAGACCAAATTGCTAACATGCGCTGGATTATGGAGAAAGCCAAAGAGTTCCAGAAAAACATCTACTTCTGCTTCATTGACTACGCAAAAGCCTTTGACTGTGTGGACCACAACAAA